TTTACTTATTATATTACTCATTTCTCCCTCTACCGAAACTTAATTAACTAATTACTAGCACTAACAAAAATGGTGGTTGTTAACACCTGCAGCCAGTTTGGGTCTGGAGCTGGAGATTATGATGAAGAAGAAAATGAGCCTTACTTAAACCGAAAATGTTCAGACTCAGACTCAGACGAAGATGACTCAGACGAAGACGAGTCAGATGACCCAGACAAAGACGACTCAGACGAAGATGACTCAGACGAAGACGAGTCAGACGACCCAGACAAAGACAATTCAGATGATGATGAGGACGACCGCTCCGACGATGGTAACAATTCGGATCATTCAATGCCGGACTTTATGGATGTAGATTAATTATTAAACTTGATTGGGCAAACTAATTATATTGTGACATGGCATGGCATGGGCCGTCCCTTACAAATTCTCATTTTATTCGTGTGCTTTCTTTCTTTCTTTATGTTTTTTGTTTTGTGCTTTAATTTATTTCTTCGTGTATGCCCTTTAAATTTCAACTTTTTTTCAATATGTTGTTTCTAAGCCGGCCAGTTGTTGTATTACCACTTTACCAGTGTTAACTCATTTCTCAGTGGTTCAATTTTTAACCTATCATTCTCTCCTCATTGGTCTCGGTTTAATGTTTAATAAGAGCCTCCTCTTTTTCGTTAGAATTCTAAAATTGGATGTTAGAAAAAAGTTAAAAGAAACTAATGGTATGTTTGGGAACATGAATTTGGATTTCAAATCCGGATTTGGTTCAAATTCCATGTTTGGGAAACTCAAACATTTTGAATTTGGATTTGAATCAAATTCTTTTCATTCATAACATAAAATTAATCACTAAATACAAGAAATTTGGAATTCTAAAAGTGGATGACACTGAACTAATTTTTTGTCAAAAATGTGACATCCTTTTTTCCTTTCTATCTTACTACCAAACTATTTTCACCTATTATTCATCGCCAAATACTAATTAAATAGTTCTTAAATGCATTTATGTTATTTTATGTTTTGTTAAAAATGCCACTTAAATTTTTTCTCTCAAAAATATCACACTTTTTAGGTTTGTTTGATAAGTTTTATGAGTCCACTCATTTCTATTACTCTATACCTTTATTTATATTCTTAAAATATAATTTTCTTTGTCATTAAACAATTACATAAAATTTAATTTTCTAAAGATTTTTTATTCTTTTACTCAGCTAATTTTTTCTGTTCTATCAATTCACAAAAACTATATTTTCAAAAAAAGCAATTCAAATTACATAGTTTTGTATCATTACAATTAGCATCATATTTTTTCAATTATAAACTTTTTTTCATAAAACAATACATCAAATTGTAACTCATGAAAACTACTCCCTTCGTCCCTGAAAATCTTTCTTTTTTCTTTTTTCATTCGTCCCAAAAAACATTTTTTATTTCTATTAAAAAATCACTTTTACCCCTTATTTTTTCATACCTACCTATCACATCTTACCTTTTTCTTAATAATTTACCCATTAAATCTTACTTTTACCTATCACATCAAAGGACTTTTTTGGAAATTCAATACCAAACTACATTTCCCTTCAATCTCTTAAAAGTCAATAACTCCCATGTTTTTAGGACCGGAGGGAGTAGATAACAACAATTTCTTTTGAATAAAAAAATCAATATAATTAAGAGGCAAAGAGTTTTTTAACCAATTTATAGACTGCTACAGCCAAATCTATTAAAAATAAAAAAAAAAACTAACATATACTCCATCTATCTTAAATTAAACATTTTAACAGCAAATAAAAAAGAAATACTTTTTCATGTTCTTTAAGTCAACAATTATTGTGGATAACTACAATACTTCAATTTTAAAAATTTTAATGAACACAACATGAAACATACTGTCAAGGAAACAACTCAATCAAAAACTCAAACTTGTCGTTGTGGCCTAGGAAAGATTATTTATATTCTTACACGCCCCCTCATGTGTAGGCATAGTATTTTTCGAGCCTTGCACGTGAAATTTTATTTTTTTTAACTGGGTGGCGTTGAGTTTCGAACTCGTGACCTCCTAGTCAACAAGGCTCCGATACCATGTCAAGGAACCAGCTCAACAAAAAGCTCAAGCTTATGGTTGTGGCCCAGGAAAAGTTATTTATGTTCTTATCAGAGCAGGTTTTGGCCCATCTCGTTTGTGTTAGAATAAGTGACCAACGCTAGAGGGGGGGTGAATAGCGTTTGATCAAAAAATCGCAGGAATAAAAAATTAAGAACGTGAAACGTAAAGAGCGTAGAAAGCGTAAAGGGAGCACACCAAGATTTATACTGGTTCACCACAACGTGTGGCTAATCCAGTCTCCCGAGAGACTCTCTCGAGCTACACTACTTCCGTTAAGCTTACGGGTGCTTAACAAACTGTTACAACCTGAGAACTCAAGTCCCACGAGCCTCAACAACACTTGCTCGGAGATACCGCACTCCAAGACTTCAACCCGAAGGAAAATACCTTTCCTTCGTACAACCAAGGGAAACAAGCTTCCCTTAACGTGTATACAACACTAAGACACTCAAGAACAAGACTCTCCTTAAGAGTGGATATGAGTAAACTAAGAACGCTCAAGAACACAACACAAGCTTCACAAAAATAGCTCTCAAAAGCTATGAATAATTAAAGAATGATTTGCAATGAAAGAGTAGGAGTTGTGAAGTAATGTTATGTGTAAAACAGACCCAAACACCTCATTTTATAGTAGAAAAATAGGCTCCAACGGACCAAAGTATTTAAGGGGTGATTGACATAATTTGTGGGATTTGATGAAATTTGGATCTGTTGAAAATCACCTAGACAGCGCTGTCCTAGGCCTGGACATCGCTGTTCTAGGCTTGCGGTTTGAAAAATGGGAAGCAACGGTCATGCCAACAGCGATGTCTAAAATCCCTACATCGCTGTTTTGGCTGTTGACTTCCAAACAAGGAAAGTTTTAGCCTTAAATTCCTTCCAACGGTCAGGTCTCTACATCGATGTTCTATACTAGAACATCGCTGTTTAGGTCTGCCTTTGGAGATGGAAGTTTGGCCTGACAGCGCTGTTGCTGGGTCAACATCGCTGTCCAAAAACTTTCTGCCAATGCA